GAGTAAAAGAAGTTGTACCTCAATTAGGTAGCCGATTCTAGGAGGTGCCCCTTTCAGGTCCAAATGCACAAACTTTTTGCAACTGCGCAATGACTGGTTCATATCAGGTACTGTTCAATAAAAAAATCTAGCAGCGTCTTAAAAGATATTTTATATCTTATCTCATATTTAAATCACGGAATCAACAACTGAGACTGTATAATATGTTATCCTTTAATCTTTTGTATTTTGTCATTTAATAAGTGCTGATACTGTAACTGGAAGACGTTCTCCTTTCATGTATTTCTTAATCAGCCTTGTTCCTTTTCAAATATGTACTTTCAACTCAACGAAGCTAAGCATGTGACAGAACCTCTGTTTACAATCCTTTGCTCCTTTGCACTCTCACGCACACGCCCAACAACAAGGCTTCTTCCGTTCTTCTGAGAAGCACGACGGGCATTGAAGTTTTTTTGTGCATTTTTAAACTAACAGAAATGCAGATGTAGGACTACAAGCGCCTGTATGTCCGCTCAGGACCGGAAGTTGTGAACCGTGGTTCTCCGCAGGCATGTTATTTTAGAATAAAAGCGTAATTTTTTTAAAATCTTGATATCTTTAATCTCGCTAATCAAAATTAAATGTAAAGGTAGTATTTAACTAAATCAGTACTGAAACATAAAAAAAATCAGCTTATAATAAAGTTTAAATGAATAATGATTAGAATTTTATTAGTCTATATTTTTATTCGAAAATTAAAATGTTAAATGTTAAAGTAACTAAGAAATTTACTTTTATAGTATCTTTATTTACATTGTAAGAGCATATTTATTTAAGATTCTGGAATCTCTTGCAACAGAATTTGAACGGAGTAAACGTAGCAAATGTCACTCTCTAGTGGACAATGTTTTAATGTACTGGTAATATTGACATTCTAAAATTTTATTGGTAACAGGATAGTGGTTAAAATATGTAAGTTCTTCTAATCATGGAAGGGGTGATTCATGAACTGTGAACAACTTTGAGGTTACATTTCACAGACATTCAATAATACTTATAAACTGTTTAAATGTCACAATGTGTGTCGTCATAATTGCTTGTGGAATAGAGTAGAAATAGCCTAAATAATAATAATAATAATAATAATAATAGTTTTTTTTCTAATTGTATTTTCCTATACTGTCTTTAGATGACTAATGAACCCCTTAATACATAATAAAAGGAAAAGGAAATTGTTAAATTGTCTGTGATCTGGGCACATTTCATTTATTCATTTGGCATGTTTGTTTTGCATATATATATATATATATATATATATATATATATATATAGGAGCATAAGCCGTCCAAAAGAGCTTCACAGGACAGGCGGGTGTGCGCACTCACTCACCCACAGAGACAGACTGCGATTGGAAGCGCGACGCGGTCAGGTCGTGTGTTTTGTGTTGTTGCCGCGCAGTATCTTTTCACGCAAGTGCCGAGGGAAAAGTTTATTTCAGAGACTCTCCAACTAACGGGCATGGCCGCTCCCAGATCCCCCTGAACGCCAGGTCAGTATGAGCAGTTTCTGCGTTCATTCCTATGCTTCAAAGGCGCATTGTTGCAGATATAAAGAGTTGCATTGTTAGGACCGTTGGAACTGATTGTTGCACAGCGGTTTGCTACCTTGTGGCCAACCACGAAAGCCGCTTTGGGGATCTGTGGTCGGGGAACCTGCTATCGTGCTGCGGCAAAATGCTCCCATCGGGTTTTATATTACAGCCATTCAACACGCAGTTCCCTCGCATTGAGACCAACGCTAGTTTTATCTAGTTATGATGTGATTTAGATGATCTAGACTTAGACCTGTGTTTATAATTTGTGCTTTGTTTTGATTAAACGTTGACTTTTGAGTAATAAGCTGTCATCACTCAAAACGGCGCAAACGGTGCATCAAAGTTATCATGGGTAACGTTAGAGCATTAGTATCTACATTTGGCATAGGCTATTGTTTATTTTTACCTTTGGAAACAATTTGTAAGCATTATTGTGATGACACAACATTAGTTTGTTTCAGCGAGATGTAATTAAGCACAGTAAACATTTCTTGGGCAGAACTGGTTTGTACTTCTGTATTTTGTTTGAAAGTTTATGAGCCGAACCGACCCTTCCCCCTTTCTTCTCCCGGCCTCGCTGTCGGCTTCGTCCGGGGAGGGACTGCACAGGCGATCGTGTTGAGTGACCAGTGCAGCCGCTACCCAAACAAAGGCGGGTTACCAGGGGAAACGGGGATCTCTGCTTCTGGACTGGGTCGCTGGGGGAATATAGTGTCGGCTCATCTGCATCAGTCCTGAATGAACCGCTGGAGCAAAGACAAATAGGCTACTGTTTTGTAATTAAGCACAGTAAACATTTCTTGGGCAGAACTGGTTTGTACTTCTGTATTTTGTTTGAAAGTTTATGGGCCGAACCGACCCTTCCCCCTTTCTTCTCCCGGCCTCGCTGTCGCCTTCGTCCGGGGAGGGACTGCACCGGCGATCGTGTTGAGTGACCAGTGCAGCCGCTACCCAAACAAAGGCGGGTTACCAGGGGAAACGGGGATCTCTGCTTCTGGACTGGGTCGCTGGGGGAATATAGTGTCGGCTCATCTGCATCAGTCCTGAATGAACCGCTGGAGCAAAGACAAATAGGCTACTGTTTGACCTGTGAGGAGGACCTGACGGCTGAAAATCACTTCACAAGTAACGTCGATAACGCCTGCAAGGTCGCTTTGTGTTCACGGCTGCAAGTACGTGGCTCAGTAGATTAGACAAACCCGTTTTATGCTGGCTGGCTTTGTCCACCCTTGGTGTTTTTTTTTGTCGACAGGAGAAAACATTTTAATCAGAGAGGGAGCCAGTCTGTTTTAAGCCATCAAGATGAATGACAAAGAACCATTTCTGAGCATCAAGCCATTACAAGGCGTGTACAAGACACTCTTTAAACAGCGGTTCAGAATTCATGTGTTGTTGTTCTTGTGAGACCTGTCAGATTTATTTTTTTTTTAACTATAGTAAAGTGCCAAATTAATTTCAAACAGGCATTAAAA